CCTCGCATCCCTACAAAGCCGGGACGGAGCACGCCGGGTTGTCACCGGACCAGGCTCAGGCGACATGGGGGGGAAACGAAAAAAAACAAAACAGATGATGACTGATGACCACAGCCCACGACAAAACGAATATGAACGAGACAAAAGAAGAAAGAAGAAGAGGGGGAAGGAAACATCAACACAATGAACAAAGCGAAACAAGAACAGAACGAAGAGAACAAAGAACAGGAAGGGGGAAAGCAATATCAACACAAACGAGACAGGAACAACGTGTACAAAAAAAAAAAAACGAGAAAAAACAAGAAAGAAAAAAGATAAAAAAATCATCATCAACGCGACACAAGAACGTGACAAAAAAATAAACAATCGAGAAGCAACATCAACACAATGAACGATACAAGGTGAGGAGAAAAAGAGACCAGACCCGAGCGACTGAGGACGGGCGCAAGCAAGACAAACTCCGTAACCTCGAACAACAGGCACCAAGGTCTGCCTTGAATTGACACGACACGCAAGACGCGACCTGAACAATATCTCAAAGCCCGTTTCCAAACAAAATACACCGAAGAAGGGCCTCCAATCCCTTCAGTGCACTCGCGAGGGGAACAAAGCGGGTTGGGTGGCGACGGAGGGGTGAACGCTTGCAGCAGCAAAATAGTACGTTCCTATCCATCTCACTCGAGAATGCATCCAACAGAGACACAGACGTCGCTAGAAAGAAGCACCAGTCGCTTGGTTTCAAAAGAAGGCGCACTGCAGAATCAAAGCCGTCCACTCCAAAATCAAACGATGTCAGGGGTAGTGAAACGAAGCACTGGCGGTCCCGAACCAAACATGTTCACACCCTAAACCTGCTCAACCGCTGCCTTACTCGCGCAACTGCCTTACTCGCGCAACTGAATCCCCGTGTGTACAACTGTCAGCAAAAATAATAATAGTAGTCGCTGCTGTAGTCGCAACAGCAGCTGCACCTCCCTACGATTGTTCACAAAAAGCGACAAAGCTTGTTGCCACAGGCCATTTAGACGGAACAAACTAAACTTTGTTGCGTACAAAACGGGAACAATTCAAAAATGCGTCATAACTGGTAATCTGGGGTCACCAAGAACAAGTCTCGCGTACCCGCTCACCGATGATGCTAATAAACACTTTTTGGGGAGAGCAGGCACATCTTAGTCGTAGATCGGCACGCCTCAGCGCACATTTTAAAACGTGAGCACGCCGGAAGATTTGAGGCGTTGGCCAACACAGGTGGCCCCATAAGTGATGTACTTTACATTCGGGTGGTAAGCAAACGATTACTGTAGCCCTTGTTGTTCTAGGCGTAACAGCAAGTCCCGAGCAACCTCCTCGCAAAACGCTTCAGCCGAACTTGTCATTTGACCCTCATTTACTCTTGCCTGCCTTTGTCGTCCCGCGCCTTACCGTGATGTACTTCTTCCCGTCTTCAGAGGTGTAGATCCTCTTCTGAAGGCGACCGGAAGTGTCCTCTTTCGCGGCGGTGGAGATGCCATTGAAGGCTACGTCCGCCAGCTCTTTCGTGGCGTACACCACCTGAACAAGGACACAGAAAAGAACCAACAATCTCCTCGTGAACAACCAATCATCCTGTCATCTTTTTTGGGTGGCCACACAGTAAAAATAGGTTGCCATCAGCGAAACTGCTTCCACCACGAAAGAACACAACAAACGGCAGGAGCAGCACCAGCAACAACAGGCAAAAACCGTCAACAGTCAACACCCAATCATCTGAGTTGCGTGCGGAAACGCAAAAAAGGAGGTTGTTCTTGCTCTCTACTCCTCCTCAACGACTACAGTACAAGGAAGACGCACTGTACGCATACCAAAAAAAACGAAAAGAGCCGACAGCTCCCATGCACCCCAGACAACAGTTGTACCACGCAAAGCTCGAAAGATCCAGAGGAAAAAAAAAAAAACGCATCACAAACATGACACATGTCGATGAATGAATTCCCCCCTCTACACAGGAGCCCACGACCGAAAACAAAACAAAACAAGAAACACGTTTCCCGCGGAAGACGTTTCCCACCGAACACGATTCCCACGGAACACAACAATAACTGAAAAATTTACATGGGTCTTCCCGGTGGTGCCCGTGAACTCGATCCCCTCCGCCTCCTGAGCGATGACCTTCGTCTTCTTCTGCATGACCCGCATGAGCTGTTCCGGCGTCGTACCGGCGGGAAGCCGGTGCACCATCAAGGACCGCCGCTCCCTCTCCGCCTTCGCAGCCCTCGCATCCGCGTCGTCTTCTGAAAGGTACCCCAGTGGGAGAGGGAGTTGCGAGGCAGTTCGTGGGTTCCGGCGCAATTCGCTCACTATGGGAGATTTGGGAATTGGGTGCGTTTACAGGCCTGTGAGCACTCTTGTTTCTCTCTTTACCCAACGGATGGGGGGAGGAGGGGAGGGGGGGGGCTGAGTGGCGGCGAAATTCGCGCATCAAAAAGCAGAAATGGATGATCTGAAGTGACATCTCTTGGTCGAGGGGAGCCCGTGCACAGAAACATGTGAGCACTGCTTTTTCTCTCCTTACCTAGGGGGTTGAGTTGCGGCCCAATTTGCTCACCATAGGAGGCTTGTTTGGATGACAAGCTTGGGATACTAATTGGGTGGAATATAGACATTTCTTCACGTCGGGGAGAGTCGGTGTCCACAACACGAGTGCTTCTCCCTGGCAGCCCTCGCATCCGCCTCGAGCCAGGGGGGTTGAAAAGGCAACGGGAACTTCTCGGTCTATCCCCGATATTTACATGGGGGTAACAACGAGAACAACATCGATCGGCTGCTTGCGGAGATTCGTCTCATCGGAGAAACCCCAAGTCTCGTGAGATGCTGCACCAAGTCGGACATTCTTCGCGGGAGCAGCAGCGCTTGACAGCAAGCACACCCTTGCGCATTGTCTCGCGGCCTCGAAAAAACAACGTTTCCCTTCTTTTCTGGCTCTACCCTGCTACCCTCCTGCCCAGCACTTCAATTGCAAACACAATCGTCGAGAGAAAGACAAAGGTCAAGGTATTTCTCTAACCTCTCGTCTAGTACTCCAATTGCGATACAATCGTCGAAAGATAGAAAAAGGTCAAAAGGCGTTTTCTTGGGGACAGAAAAAGGTTAAGACGCGTCTTCGAGAGAAGAAGGTGAAGAACCGCCTTCGGAAATGAACAGGGACAAGAATATCCCTCAACAAGCGTGGCGGCGGTCGTCGGCCGAACGGCTCGAGACAACCCTCCCCGCCCCCCAAAGAAAACTACCCGCAAGCCCCCACCTCTCCCTCTCTCCTACCGCTTCGCGATCAACCCCCACGCCCCTTGCCGGAGAGCACGCCCCTTCTCGGAGACTGCGGCCAAACACTTTTTCCTTCTCTCACCTCCGTTTTCCAACCCTCTCCGTTTCTTGCCACCACCGGCATCATCTGGAGACCCCTCCCCGTTTCGCCTGCGGCTAGCCTTCTTGGTCCTGTCGATGGAGGGAAGCGGTGCGCCTACCTTCTCCAGGGCATACCTGGCCACCTCTAGGGTGCTCTGTTCCCACGCAAGCGGGAGATATGTGGAGGGAGCGGTGGGAAGGGGTGAATAGAGGGAAGCGCTGGTAATTTCTGCTACAAGATTGACATACAATCAGAGAAGCACAATCACTTCCTTTTCTCTTGCAACGAAGGTGAGGATAGGGAGCGTGACCATGCTTCATTTGCACGTGCTGGCTGTCAAGACTTTTGACCACGCGTCCTCAAGGCGACGGAGCAGTGGACCGGCCGCCGATGGACAATCGTCCCTCCCAACTTTGCCGAGGGTGGCTCAACCAAACTTGTGCTATCCTGTTCTACATCACCTCAAATACCCCAGCGATGCGCCAAATTGTTCCAACTTCAGACCCCTGGAGACCATAAACTGGGGCCAATCACATCTAACGTTCTTACTACTACTCCTCAGAATTGTACGCCTTGCCGCGATGTAATCTGCCGCGGTCGAACCACGTAGTAACGTAGTGACAGCCAAAATGAACCTCAGCAGGAGGGCTTTGTTGTGGCACCGTCTTCGTGTTTCTTGTCGTTCCAAGTTCTGTGCTTCACCAGACTATTTTTCGGCCGTGGATTGGGCCTGGTAAAGACGCCTGGCTGTTTTTAGAAACGCGATTTTCCTCCGTTTGCGTGTAATTGGTTTTTTCTATTCCATCTCGCTCTTGTGTCGTGTCACCACTCCTTTTTTTTGTTTCGGTGTCGTAAATGTTCCGCGAACACGGCATTAGGTGTACCGTAGTGCTGTACCTTCGCATCCGTGACCGAGTCGTGAGATCCGTCCTGGATGTGCCTGCCCAAGGCTACCTTCACGACGTCCTTGAGGCTGGGGGTGCTGAACTTCTCATCGCTTCCCTCGAACAGGAAAGAGGTGTCTACGACCCGGTCGTGCTTCATCTGCCGAAAAAGCGGGGAAGGAGGGGGGGGACAGGGAGGGAGAGGGAAGGAGAGGGAGAGAGAGAGAGATAGAGAGAAATATGAGGAGGTGCAGTGAGGCAGACCGAGAGACAAGTCAAAAACAATTGGATTACAGACAGAGACAGACAGCGAGACACACACGAGCAGACGGTTATCCAGCGTCTGCATTAAAAAAATATATGCGAATGTTACTTGACTTGAGAGCCTTCGAGCGTCTGCCATAGCAGACAAGCGCAGACATGACACACCGTCGTATCCCAAGCTTGCCGAGAACACCTTACCCGCTGCGGTGCGAGCTTTGTCTGGAATACAGCTTTTTGTATCTAGGCACCGAGGTCTGAGTAGGAACTCAAACCTTCATGCACGAACACCAGACCCCCCCCCCC